TGGGGTGATGCCAGGGCAGAGCCCCCACAGCCCCTGGGAAGCTTCTGTGGGACCCCTGGGGTCAGCGTGGGTGTGTCTGGAGATGGGTGGCAAAAGGCCAGGAGGTCTCATGGGGATCTGCCTGGGCAGCCATGGGGCAGGGTGCCCGTCTGGGGGGTCTCTCTGTGTCCATCCAGCCCTGCAGCTCTGCAGGGATGCAGGGAAGGCGTGGGTGTGTCTGGAGATGGGTGGCAAAAGGCCAGGAGGTCTCATGGGGATCTGCCTGGGCAGCCATGGGGCAGGGTGCCCGTCTGGGGGGTCTCTCTGTGTCCATCCAGCCCTGCAGCTCTGCAGGGATGCAGGGAAGGTGGCACAAGGTGGCGATGGCCACCTCTCCGGCCATCCCCAGCCTGTGTCTGGGTGCAGCTTCTCGGAGGTGGCCGAGCCAGAGCGGGATGGATGAAGAAGGGAAGGCTGAGCTCCCTCTGCCGACAGCCACCCCAGCCAGGCAGCTCAGCCTGGCACCAGCCCCAGGCACCTCCTCTCTCTCCTGATCCAAAATTTGCACTGGAAAAAAAACAACACCAAAAAAACCAACAACAAAAACAGGCAGCCCCAAAATAGATCCCCTTTCCCCGAGAAGCTGGCAGAGGCTCAGAGCTGCTGGCCTCACTGGAGGAAAGTCTGGAGCATGGACCATGGGACCCTGCAAGAGCCTGCAGCCCCCACCCCATGGGACAACAGGAGCATCCAGGGACACGTATGTAAATAAAAATGAAATATTTAATTTCCTTTTTTTAAAAAAAATAATAAATCCCTGACAAAGTGCTTTACTGAGGATCCTCACCAGTGGGGTGTGAGCTGTTTGACAGGGGTTGTGCATGGGAGCAGGGGAAACTGAGGCACGGGGTGGTTGTATCTGCAGCAGCAGATCCTGGGAGGGGACCCAGCTGCTCTCAGACCAGTGCCATGGCCACCAGCCTCCCTCCTCCCCAGGACAGCCTGTGCATGCCAGGACACCAGTTCATGTGCCAGGAAGGGTCACCCTTGGGCTGAGGACCTGGTCTCTGTCAAGGCATCAGGAGCAGTGAGGGCTCCCTGGCACTGTCACCGCAGGGGGATCATCGGGTGCCAGACAACAGCGGTTCGAGGAGGACGGGCCGCTGTGGGGCAGCAGCGATTTGGGAGGCTGCTGGATTGGGAGAGCAGCTCTGGAGACCTGGGAAGCAGCAAGTCCCGGGATGCACAGCCGGTCCTGGCCTGGCCATCCCGCACGGGCACAGACCCTGCAGGGCTCCAGCCCTGGGCATCCTGGGGAGCTCGGCTGGGCACAGGGCAGCCTGCCCGGCTCAGCAGCATCTCTTCTTGGGCTTGTCGTGAGGGGTGAGTTTGATGGAGTCCGTTAAATAACTCTCAAAAATCCCTTTATACTGGAAAAAGCAGAGAAGAGAAAGGGAGAGCGACGTCAGGTCAGAGCCAGCCAGAGCGGACCGGAGGGCTGGGGAT